CCTATAAATGCCTTTCGTGATGAATGTGCTCAATTATAATCACATGCTCTCCGACTGATACCAGTATTCGGCAGTGCTATCTGTGTGGAGACATTTTCAGAGATGAAATACGTAAAATCTCATTACAGATCGGCATTAACAGGTCAACATTTGCAATTGGTTTTGATGACAGGGAACACTAACTTTGAACCCCAATTAAGCAGCAGACTTCTATTACACACACAGTTATATTTTGAATTCTGTCAACAAAAAATTCATGATTTGTTTTCTTTAATTTTTATATACTTATATAATAATCTTGATTTTGCTTCTTGGCATGCAAAACCTAATATTTACTATCTGATCCCTTACAGACTAAGTTTGCCAACTCTGGACTAAAAAAACACTGGACGAGTACATTGGGCTGCCCATCGGATACTTCTAGTCATTCAAACAGAAACCTTGATCCACTCCCAAGTTCTTCTACTCCTGTCTTCCACTCATTAAATGGCCTCTAGTTCAAGTGCTCAAGCCAAAACTCTAGAGGTCTTCCCTGATTTTTTACTTTCCCACAATCTCTACATTAATCTGTTAGACTGTCCCATCAGTCCTATCTACTTCTCTCCCTGTCTGCTGCTTTTACCCACCTCTTTGTGCTACTGAAATAGCTTAATTGGTCTCCCTGCTTCCACTCTTGTCCCTTAATGATCCAATATTCACTCTGTAGCCAGAGGAATCTTTTTAAACATTACTTTAAACTCTTTATTGCCTTCCCATTGCATTTAGAATAAAATCCAAATTCCTCATCACAATCTGAAGGGCTTTAGATAACCCAACCCCAGCCAACCTCTTCAATCACATCTGCATTGGACTTTATGTTTGTACCCCTCTCCCCCAGTCCCCAATTCATATGTTGAATTCCTAACATTCCATGTGATAGTATTAAGAGGTGGTGCCTTTGGGAAGTGATTAGGTCATGCGGGCGGAGCCCTCATTAATGGGATTAGTGCCCTTATAAAAGATACCCCAGAGAGTTCCCTTTCTCTTTCTGCCACGTGAGGATACAGAAAAAAGATGGTCTAAGAACCATGGAGCAGGTCCTCACAACATAGAATCTGCTGGCACTTGATCTTGGCTTTCCTAGCCTCCAGAGCTGAGATAGAAATTTGTTATTTATAAGCCACACAGTCTATGTATTCTGTTATGGCAGCCCAAACAGACTGACATCTCGCTCCTCTCTGGTCCCCTTGTCAAACATACCAACCCCTCTCTCTTTCTTGGCCTTTGCATCTGCTAGACACTTTACTGGAGCGCCTTCCTTGCTCTGCGTTGCAACTCTGGGTCTTCCTTTTCCTCTGGGTACTGGATCAATGTGCACAGTATTGCCTTCCTTTTCTGTTACTCTCCACCTTATTACCTTATTGCCTTAATTCCTAGGGCAAGCAATGTCTGCCACGCCTAAAACAGCACCTACATATAATGGGTAATAGTGGATAGCTGGCAAATGCTTACCAAATAATGCCAACTCCAAGCAAGTCTCATGATGTGGGAAAGTAAGAGCTAGTAGAGCACATAGCAAAGGTCCTAACAATCAGGGAGATTTCTAGAGTGAGTGATGGTATCTAACAAGAGTAGGAATTATCCCACCGAGTGCTGTTTCTGTGTAGGTAACTATTCTAGAGAGATGAGCATGAGAAGCAGGGAAAGAGCAGAGGCCTAGAAGAGACAGCAATGAGTGGTGAGACCGTGAAAGAGCGAGAGGAAGCAAATGAAAGATTTAAGCTGGAAAGTTGGTGAAACAGTACTTATTTGCTTTAGAAAGATCGTTCTGGCCCTAGCTGGTATGGCTCAGTGGTTAGAGAGCCAGCCCTCAGACCGAAGGGTCCGGGGTTCGATTCCCTTGGTTACAGGTTCAATTCCCAGCCCCGGCCTGGGCATCCGCAGGAGGCAACCAATTGATGTGTCTCTCTCACATTGATGGTTCTCTCTCTCTCTCCCTCCCACTATCTCTGAAAAGCAATGGAAAAATATCCTCAAGTAAGGATAAAAAAAAAGATCACTCTGGCCATAGTATGTACAGTGAAAGATAGAGGGAAACAAGACAGAAGACAACCAGTTAGGTTCCAGTAGCAGTAGTGAGAATGAAGGAATGAATCAGCTGGAAGTATCTGGGGAACAGCATTGGTAGGACAGGTACAGGAGGCGAGACAGGCGTTCAGCAACGCTCCTAGGTTGCAGTCTTGGGCATCTGGGTAGATGGCGGAACCATAACTAACCCTGGAAAGGGCAGAGAAACAGCTGGCTGAACATGGGGTAGAGTGTTTTAGACATGTTGAGCTTAAGATGTCTATGAAGTATCTACATAGCTGGTTTAAATATTTGTCTCTTAAAGTGATAATGCAAGGCCCAAGCCCTTCTGATCCCTTTTGCTCTTTTTATCAGTGCCTGGTACATAGCAGGAATTTATTGTTGAAGGAAGGAAAGAAGAAATCTAAGTGGGTCTGGGGGGTCAGGAAAACTGGAGGTACAAAATTAAGGGTCATCAGTATTTAAAAGATTTAACTCAGAAGACTGGATAAAAATCACCCAGGAGTATATAAAGTTAGAAGAAGGTGAAAGAGCCTTGAGAACTCTAGCACTTATGAAAACGGTAATAACAATAACATCTAATCCTTACTGAGTGTCGTATGCCTCTTTTCAACTAAAGTTGAAAATATTTCCCCTTTAGGCGATCCCTCCCTGAGAGAACTGGCCCCAGAAAAGTTGTGACTAACTAACGTTCTCTCACAATAGCTAACATTTACTGAATTTACTAAGTGCAAAGCACTGTCCTGAGCACTTTACATATATTCTCACAACCCTAAGAGCATGATAAACTCCAAATGGGAACTGCACAGAGGGAAGATACAGGACAGAGGGGTTGAGTACAAGAGCAAAGGTTCTGGTTGGGGCGTGCTTCGGACAGGAGCAGCATCTCTTCCACTAAAGGAGGCAAGCACAGAGGTAGAAAAGCATGTTTGTTTACAACAAATTCTTTCATCATGGAAACTGTTTTCTGCACAATGCCTAGTAACTTTTTTTTAAAGATTTTTAAAATTGATTTTTAAAGAGAGAGGGAGAGGGAGAAACATCGATGTGAGCGAGCAACATCAATCGGCTGCCTCCTGTACCAGAGATCAAGCCTGCAACCTGGGCACATGCCCTGACCGGAATCGAACCAGCAACCCCCCAGTGCACAGGATGACGCCCAACTGAGCCACACCAGCCAGGGCACAATACCTAAAAACTTTTAAAATAAAACTCTAACATGGCGTTTGTTTGTTTTTGTTAATCTTCACCTGAGGGTATTTTTTCCTTGATTTTTAGAGACTGGGAGGGAGGGAGGGGGTGTGAGAAACACTGATGTGAGACACATTGATTGGCTGCCTCCCACACGTACACGGACTAAGGCTGGAGATCGAACCTGCAACCCAGGGACGTGCCCTTGACCGGGAACTGGTACTCAGGTTGACATTTTAACCACTGATCCACACTGGCCAGGGCTAACAGGGTGTTCTCATTGGCTTTATAAAGTAATAACAAAGTGCTATGGGGATTAAGGAGAGGGAGGAAATAATTCTGCCTTAAGTTCAGAGGGCAGAGGTGGAAATTGGGCAGGTTCACATATCTTGAGTACCTATTAAGTGCCAGGTGTATCTGAGGCTTTAAGGATCCCAAGGTGGGCAACATGTGGATTGTCTGAGGTGCATTTCTGTTCCTGTGGTCTGGCCAGCAACCACTTCCCACTCTTCTATCCTAGGAGTTCAATTGCCCCTGGAGGATTCCATTCCCACCCTGTTACTTTGATGGAACATATGAAGGGGGTGGATCTGAGGCTCAGAGCTCTCATCTGGGGAATTTTATCTTGAGTGACATAAGAAATAAGAATGACTGGGTCATCATTCCAAAACATAGGACCTGAAGAGTCCCAGGAGTTCCTGCTCCCTGGACTCCCAGATCTGACCCAGGTCTTATCCTTCCAAAAGCTAGTCCTTCATCCCTTCCCTCCATTTCAGGAGCCACCCACATCCTTTCATGGATTCCTGTTTTGATAAGAGCCAGCTTCCGTTGCTTGCAACCAAAGGACCCCAGCCAATGGATATAGCCACCTACAGAATGTGTGCCGAAAGAATGGCAGGTGGGTGGGATCACAGTAGATTGAAGACTGGAACCTACTCCGACCCCTTTCCCAACGTGTTCAGTCCTTCACGGTACCCATGGCATGGCTCTTTTAGGGAGGCTGACATATACCAGCTACGGTTCACGTTCTCAGCCGTAAAGTCACATTTTTTAGCCCCTTCTAGGTGCCATACCTAATGACTTTTGAGGAACATGCTTTATGGAAGTGAAGCTGTGGCTCGAACTCATGTTCATTCCCACAGCAGTTCAGCCCCCCACACCCACTGCCATACTCTGGCACATGCAGTTCTTTGTGAAACCTCTGCTGACCTGTACTAGGTCTTGGTGCAGCTTCCTTTGTGCCACTACAGTAGCTTGTACTGCCTACTATTGTGGACTTATCATACTACATTGTCATTATTTGTGTAGCTTCAGTAGTAGCTGTAAACTCCTTGAGGGCAGAGTATAAATCAGGGTCTGGCATAGCGCTTTGCACTAAATGTTTGTAGAGCAAATTCAACATTATACAAAATATATGAAGTTGGAGAATATGATAGGTAAAGATCATGTGAACCAAGCCCTTTAAAAAAAAAGGCAGCGAACCAGTTAGGAGATACATGCCACTCCACCAAAAAAAACAAAACAGTTTAGACTCTGAAAGATCAGGTAGCTTACCAGAGGTTATTCAGTGGCAGGTCTGGGCCTAGAATCTAGCCCACAGAAAGTTCAGAACTGTTTTTTCTGCACCAATATGAAACTATCCCATTCTTTCCCCATCAACATAAACCAACTGCAAAACACATCCAAGTCTTGGCAACTGTTTTCACGTCTCTCCCACATAAATTACTCAGTCCAGTCCACTGTCAGCTCTCAACTCCAAGGCAAAGTTTATTTGAAGAAATTAAGTAATCTACGACAATCTTCCCATCCCAAAATCTGCCCTTCTACCTCTCAACCAAGGGGCTGTCATGTGCGAGTGGGATGGTAAGGGAGGGGGTGTGGTCCACTATACAGTTACTCTCTAGCCTTCAGTATGTGCTGTCTCGGCCCTGAATCCCCCTGACCAAAGCCACTTGTTCAGGGTAGTGGTGCTACCTTGAGAGCATTTTAGGTCAGTGGCCATCTCCTGAGTTCACTGGTCACATACGTTCCAGTCACTATGATCAATAAATGAATGATCGGTGGTGGTCAAAAGTAGACAAGAGGCACAGGCTGTTGAGGGAATACCCTCTATTAAAGAGGGTTCTAGGAATGACACATGGATTGCTCAATTTGTTAAAGTGCTCAACTACAACATAAAAAATAAAGGTGATGGGGAGTTATCTATTAGTGAGAAAGCAAGTTATGATCTGAGGGGCTTCTGGAAAGACATAACAAGGAAAGTACATAAAAAAAGAACTCTACTCACATTTCAGCAATGAGGGGAAGAAAAACTTAGAGCTCAGTCCCTGAATTACTAGAACCCTACATCAAACATATCCCTAGATGGAGACCAGCTCCTTTAACTCCTCATGGAGACAGAATGAAACATTTATCATTATATCTTTTTGTTCTAACTCTTCTCTCTTCAAATATATTTCTAATCTGAAATGTGGTTTCCTGTATGAAAAGGTCTATTGTGGGCAAGTGACCAATTTACACATGGCCTGTAAACCACTTTCCCGTAAGGTGATTAGTAAAAACCTGCAGAGATGAGAAACCTTGAGTTTCCAAATATGCCAGGTTGAGGTCCATAACATATTTATCCTCTTGGCATGATTACAAGATCCACGATAGGGGTGCCATGGTAGTGAGGGGTAAGTATCCATCAGCAGTAGTGGCTCTCTTATCCTAGAAGTTAGTGTATGGCCTCAGCAGTCACTTGTAAGTCCAGTGAGCGGTGGCCCAGCCCTGGCCCTTGCACAGGTCCCGGTGGCGAAGGAAACAGGCATGGACTCGGAACCGGCGACCGCAGTGGGGACAGGCATGCAGGGCTCCCGCGTGGGTCTTCATATGCTCTGTCAGATGGTGCTTCAGCTTGAAGCGCTTGTTGCAGATGCCACAGCCAAAGGGCCGAAGGCTGAATGTCAGCATAATGTGCCGGTCACGCTTTGGTTTCACTGCAAACCGCTTCCCACACAAGCAACCAAAACATTTTCCATCTGCGGGAGGTGTCCCCCCTAGCTTCACAGGCCCATGAACAGCCTGCCCCGCTCCCCCAGGGCCCCCTCCCCCAGACAGGATTTCATTGCCATGAAGGTCCACTGGCTTCCAGGATGGACCACCTCCTCCAGATGTTGCCCCTGCTCCGGAGGGCGGCAAGAACCCTAGCTCTTCACTCCCTTCAGTGGTCCCTCCAGGAAACACTGTGGTCTCCTCCTTTACTCCTCCAGACTGAGTTCCACCTCCTGATATGTCCTCCTTAGGCTCAAAGGGTTCCTGCTTAATGTAGAAGATTTTGGGGGGCGGTGCAGAAGGAGGGGCAGGAGGTTCAAGTGGTGCACTCTCGTCCTCTGGAAGCCTGCGGGGAGTAGCAGATGTGGGCAGCGGGTGGGGACCTGCCGATGCTCTCGCAGGCTGAGGAGTCTGAGAGAGTGCTGCTGACCCCTGGTCTTCATCATCATCTTCCTCCTCCTCCTCCTCCTCCACTTGAATCTGTAGCACCTCTCCCAGTTCACTCCTCTCCCCTCCCACGGGGTTCTGCGTAGAAGCGGAAGACTGCACGGGAGTCTGGAAAGAGGAAGAGCGAACGCACCAGCCTCCTGTTGACGATGTGGTAGAAAGAAGTGTGTGATAAGGGGTCGCTCCACGGCTTGAAATTCCACCTCCTGAGGTTTCTAATTCCCTAAGAATCTCTGAGCACTGATCTACCACTTGCCACATCTGGAGGCCACTGGCCACAAGGAGGTGGGCAGGGAGCGCATCCAGTGGCAGGCGGAGGCGCCCTGAATAAATGAGCTGGAGCAGCCCCTCGAAGGCATCCGCTTCAATGACGCTGGGCAGGGTGAGGCGCGGCGCATCCCCCAAAAGAAGTTTGTCGTGGAAGTAAGGAGAAGCAGCAGCCAACACCGCTTTGTGCGCCCTCAGTTCCCGGCCCTGCACCAGGAGGGACACATCACAGAACTTTCCCTCTAGCCTGTGCCGGTTCAGGGCTTCCAGAAGCAATGAGCTATGCTGAGGGAACTCGATCTGGATGGTCCGTGGGGCTGGGTTGCAGCTCGGGGACGGGGAGACGGGAGGCAAGGGTGTCGAGGTATCCATGGCCTCCACGGAAGGAGATCCCAGAGGATCGAGGACAGGAGATGAGGGGCAGCGGTAGACTCCACGCCGGAATAAGGCTGTGGAGGAAAGAGACGGGGGTCAAAGAAGCTCTGAATGAGATGAGCGTGTCGCCTCAACCACCACCTGCCTCACCTACTCCCCGACACGTGGAAACTTTACGGTCACAACAGTCCCGCGCACTCCCCCACCAACAAAACAGAAACAACCAACACCCACCGGGGTTTAACTTCCAGAGCCTGTGGAAGATGGAGGTCCTCCAGCCACGAGCCTGACTG